TTTAATTTCTATATTTTAAAACAAAATCAAATAACCACTCATTTCTTGTTTTTTTAATACCCATTTCCAAAATGAAATTCCAATGACCAAAAGACACACTGACCCTTGTCACACTCTTCCAGCATTAACTTCAAAGCAACGTTTTGGTAGCCATCTTGAATTTTATCACTGTCATGAAAGGCGACGGGGGATATGGAGATATGCAGTTTTTCAAGGATTGCTTGGCAGCCCTTCTTTTGTTAAATTATTTTATAAAAATTCCTCGTGTCTCCTGGATTATTCAATCACGGGTTTCAACGTTCACGTATTGTGCGCAGACTGTAACGCGGTAAATGGAGTCACGTGGTATTTTGTTGCGTAGAGGTGCTGCTGAGAATACAACTGAACGGAGCTTTATCCGTTCGGGGGTTTAGCAAGGGGGTGGGGGTCAGTGCGCATGCGCGCTCTGCAAAGGGCTCTGTTATCCTCTTCGTCCACATCCACGTAATTATTGGAGCATTTCCCGCCGTGGGTCTGTTTTCACTCGTCCTGCAGGTGAGCTTTAATAGGAACAGGCGAGGCGGAGTGATCCATTATCGATATTAAACAGGAAGCGGCCAGATATTTGGCTGTGAATCGGGGGCGGAGGAACACGTTTGACACCTGCCTTCAAGCAGCAGCGGACTGGACATGATGGTGATGGTTTATGCTTGTGTGTGTGTGCGCGCGCGCGTCTCTGTGTGTGTGTATGCCTATGGCACGCCAGCCTAAATGCGGCTGTGCACCGACTCCATCACTGTTCACTGTTCAACCCCTCCTCTCCTGCAGCTTGTTGATTGATTAAGCCTCGTGACGCTCGTGATTGGCCGCTTGTTGTTCAGGGCGGAGGATGGGCATGAATGACAATTATGTTTACACATCAACAGCATGGTTTTTTTTGTTTTGTTTTTTGTTTTTAACAGGAGAAAATGTCCACTCACGTCCTCCTGGTGGCACTTTTCACCCTGCACCTTTCCACAGGTGAGATTTTCATTATAATTTAAAAAAATAGACCCCTTTTAATCGGGATAAAATTAGTTAATTATTGCTTTATAAACCAGTCAGCTCTACGTTATTGTAAAACCGTTTATAAAGCACAAACAAGGACAGTAAATATGTTGTTTTTAAGAGGTATTTATGACAAGAGTTTTTGACAGAAGCTATACGTTAGCGGAGTTACCTATAAAGTTTTCCATATGTAGACTTAATAACAAACTATGGTCTTTAGTGGGATCTTATATTGTTATTTAAATATATCCTGAAGAATCCCAAGCACACAACAGATTCCTCTGTGTAATTTGTTTATTAGATAAAAATGAAGCCAAAGTGGAAAGGCTGCATTATGTAAAAACAAAGTTCTCCCTTCGCTGTCTTTTGTGCCTCTAATCGAACGAATTAACGGATCATCATCTGTGTGACCACCTCAATTAAAACAAGTTCACATAGGCGTGTGTGTGTTAGCACAATGCCAAGGTGGGAAGACATCAGCAATGACCACAGAGAAGCAACTCATGTAGCTCTTTAATCTGGGAAGGGTCAAAGGTCAATTCTAAACTATGTGGAAAAGCTTTAAGACAGCTGCCAGTCTTCCCAGGAGTGGATGTCCCGGAAAACTCACCCCCCAAGGTCAGACTGTGCATCTATCTCAGGTTCTACAGGCCTCAGTTAGCATGCCAAAGGTTAAAGTTCTGGACTTGTTAGGGTGACCAGGAGAAAGCCTCCTTGAGGTGAAAATAAAATATACAAACACTGCTAACTCAAGCACGGTGGTGGAGATGTGATGGTTGGGGCTTGCTTTGCAGCTATAGAACCTGAGCTCCTTGCTGCCACAATTGTGAACTTTATATGTAAAACCCTAGCAACGAACCAGTATAAACTTCTCAGGACTGGTTTTATTCTGTTGTTATCTGTGAGGTCTTTGGGCTGTGCTGGATAAACAGTTGTGTTGTAAATACTCTGCTTGTATGCAGGGCCTTATTTGGTGTGTCGTCAGTCAAACTGTACCCTCTGAGGACATTTATGCGTTAAAAGTTTGTTGACTCTCCCCCCTCGACAGGTGAAAAAGAAAAAGTCCAGACCGTTTGTGTTGGGAACGAGTTTCGACTGCCGGTGGACTCGGACTCGAGAATCGTGACTTTTGCGCCGAACGGCGATGGGCCGAGACGGGTCCTGCTGGAGAACACCAGCGTGAGTGGAAGTGTGTGATTTGTGTGCAAACAGACTCAGACCTACAGTGTGTGTTGGTAGAGATCTAAATATCTTTATATAATTATCAAGAGAAAACCGTGTGTGGGTTGAACCACCGGTTCAGCTTGCTTCAGGTCAATCTGKACTTTCATGGAGGAGTGATAATGTTTTTAAAACTTTTTTTTGTACTGTCACTGTTAGCAAAATATCCCATGAATCACCAAACATTTTTGGTGAAACATTCAGAACATAATCATTAGACAATGGATAAACTTTTGGAATCAACCCGATTCAGGATGGCCGCCACAGCCTGCTGATATCGGAAAGCCCAATAAAGTTTCTAACTCCTTCAGCTTTACATGTATTGAACTAAAATAAATTGTGGTAGTAGCTGAGATGGATCCACAACTTATAATTTGAGCACTAACTGATTATTGAAATGACTGAAATTTTGGCATTAACTGTTTGTCTGTTAGCAAATTATCTCATGAACCACTGGATGGGTTTCAAGGAAACTATCAGAAAGTAATCGTTGGATGTTTATTTACAACTGATTAACATTTGGAGTTAACACACGTCAAGAAGGCCTTCACAGCTACCTGACCTTGAAAACCATATAAATGTCTAAAGCTCGGTCAAGTTTGCAGATACTGAGCTAAGATTTGGTGTGGTGGTAGCTGAGTGTTGTCTCCAATACATAATTCAAGCCCAGTGCATTGTGTCACATCCTTACTTAACACCTTGTTGGAATCAACCCTGTTTGTCTGTTAACAAAATATCTCATGAGTCACTGAATGGATTTTTATGAAACTCCCAGAAGGTAATCACTGAATGCWCATTTGCAACTGATTAACATTTGAAGTCGACCTTATTCAACATGGCTGCCACAGCTGAACAAACTTAGCAAACACAGATATGACTATAACTCAGTCAACTGGTGTGGCAGCACAAAATGGCCTAACAGATTTCTTGATTTAACACGTCTTGTGAGATGACAAGCGTGCATTTGTAATGCTAGTTTTCAATTATTTTAACATTAGTATGGTGATCTATGTTTTATTATCCAATAGAAAAACTCATAATAAGATAAGCAGCTAGATTTTTTGAAGGATGATGAAACAGAAGTCAATATTTTTATGTTCTATTTAAAAGTGTTATTTTGCTGTTGTTAGTTTTGAGATTTTATTTATTAGTCTGACTGTTTAGATTTGTGTCTGTTAAAGAGAAGGGAGAACAATATTGTGACCAGGACTGACCTCTCCTTCTGCAGGTGAAGGACCCTCGGTTCGAGTGGACCAAAGACAAGACATTAGTCCTGAGAGACGTGACYCACAGTGATCAGGGAGTTTATGCCAACAAACTGTCCCACAGCTTCACATATGAGACAGTTTGTCTGATTGTTGCAGGTAAAACCGATTTCTCTCTTATGCCTGGTATTTTTTCCTAAAGCCAAAAGTGAGCAAAACCCAACGTGTTTTTCTTTTGTAAGTGTATATATATATATA